TCTGACTAAAATATCAGGTGACATGTGGGTCTTGACCACTAAGCGACGCTAAGTAGAACTGCTTAGTGGGCTGTCACCTGATTGACAACCGCGTCATAGAACCTTCTAGCTGGTTCTTTACTATTCCATGGATACTCCGGCATGCATCTAATCTATATCTAATCGCTATCTGATAAGATAAGATAGGCGTGCGCTTATGCTGGAATAAATTCAAAAAACTGTGACAGGTTGACATCCTTGAGGCAGAAAGGAAAGCCTATAACTGTTAAGGGACCTAATGACTGAGGATCAGGAATTCAACGGTTAACTGTTACTGGGACTATTATACACGCTAGTCCTACACTGAGACTAAGGTTGCAAACTGAGCTGCTATGTCTGATAGCGGTTTGAGAATGTATACTGGATGAAGTGAAGCTTCAGACTAAAGACTAGAATAGACAACTGAGTCTATTACTGAGGACTGTCCCTATGTAGATATGGTAGGACAAGAGGACAAAACTAAAGTACAGTAGTGAAAGTAGTGCTACTTAAATAGTAGAGCGAATAGAGTTTGATAAGTATGAAACACTGAGTTGGATCAGTGATATACACAAGACAGGATGAAACACTGAGTTGGATCAGTGATGTACATAAGACAGGTGTCACTGGGTTGTATCAGTGATGGAGTCGAGACATGATAGATATGAAACATGATAGAGGCAAGACAGGAGACAGGTGACAAGTGATAGATATGAAACACTTGATGTCAATGAAATACATCAAGTGATGGGGTCAGATGTATAGTACAGGGTCAACGACGAATAGTAGGAAAAAGAAACAAACCCCCCATGAAACTGTAACAATAACAGGAAAGAAGCTAAGTCCAGAAGGCAGAAACCTCTCCATCCTCCTCCTAAATTTGACATCAACCATATTCCTCCAGAGTATTGCTGCTCTAAGGAGAAGCTTCAATTGCATCTAGACTATCTCTGCAGACAAAACGCAGAGCTTGAAGAAGAACAATGCAAGGAAAAAGCAGCAGCATGTGAGAAGAATAAAGTCCCTCTTCTTGAACAAATCAGCAAACAACCTCCCCCTTTTAACAAAGGAGGTTGCTGGATACCTCCACCAGAAGGTATCAGTTTTTCCAGAAAGACTTGTAAGGACTTTGTTGCTATCACTCTCCCTTGACTTGCTGCCACCTCTAAACATTTAAAAATCCTGTACAAGGTCCCAAAGTACAAGGACCTTCACCTCACTGGTCAGGACCTTAAATACAACTTTGATGACTTCAAGCGCCAGTTATGCAAGCTGGTATATATTCTGACTGAGAAAAAGGAAGAATTTACTCATCTCAGGTTTCATCATGTATTGAAGCTTACTGAGGACATAAAGAGAATAGACCTAAGACAGTTACATTCTCAATACTTCCATCACATAGGGAAAATAGTCAAATTATACAAGAGAGGATATCTGGGCTGGGTAGACACTGTCTAGTATACACTAGTACAGGTTTTGATAGTTGTATCATCTTTTCCTTGTTGAATGATCTTGTTTATCTTTTGGAATGGACACTGGTGGTACAGAGACTTACCACTTCTTCAAGTAATTACTCAGGGAGAAGCATTTGTTAGAACCAACCCAGCAATAAATTCACATAGAGTAAAAAGAAATTAGCTTGTACAATTTTTACCTGGAATTCTATTGATTCTTTGAATCAAGTTTA